TGTTTTGCCAAATCTCGGCATTGTCCGGTGGGTGTCTCGACTCCTAGTGCAGACCCCAGGGTCCCCAGGTGTCCTGGGTTGCAGACCCTGGACCTCCTCATGCCAGGGCCAAGTCCAGAGTCCCTGTGTTCTGCCCCTTCGTGGGCAGCTCTGTGCCACTTCCCCTCACTGGGGAGAGAGGTCAGGTTCCCCCTCTTGGGAGCACTGCCCTGCACCAGGCTCCAGCACCTCTTGGGGCCGGAGTGGCCAAAGCCAGTCAGATGCCAAAGCCCATGCAGCCAGGGCTGTGGGCAGCCTCTCGCGTGTAACGCCTTCCCACACCCCGTCACATCCCCAGATGCCTCCCTGCGGGTAGCTGGGGCATAATTCTTCAAGGGAGAATTCAGCCTTCAGGGAACCTCATTTCTCCTCGCCAAAGGAAGAGGCCGAGGAGCAGTTGTGCTGTGCCAGCTGGACTCTGCACCCCATGCACACACGTGCTGGGCTGCAAACAGACTCCCGGGCGTGACCGGGGACTGGGTTTTGTGGTGGGCTTTTTTCCCCCCCCACGCTTTTTATAATTGTCCTGAACTAGAAACACTGGCAATGCTGCTCCAGCTCACTACTGGGCATCACATCCCTGGCCTCATACTAATAGCCAGGGTCACCAGTCCCGGAGCTACACAGATACTAACACCCCCCCTTCCTTTTTGTACGGTGTGGACGGCACACCAATAAAGCCCGTGTCTCTGATGGCGCTGTGTTCTTACCAAAGCGGGTGGTAGAGGCAGCAGGGTCCTGGCTCACCAAGGTGATGGGGTGATCCGCTGGGGCCGGGGGGCTGTAACATCGAGGGGGGGGAACAGAGCCACTGTTCACCGTGTCCCAGATGCTCGAGCCTGGTGGTTTAAGGCTAGCAAGAATCTGGACTGTCTCAGGGAAGCGATGCGTGGAACTCATTGCTGCAGGGCAAAGTGGAGGTAGAGTAGAACCGGGGGCTGGATGAAGTCACCGAGGATGCATCTATACCTGGGTACGAAGCAGATCAGTTGGAGGTGAATGTACAAGCAGAAGCCCTGCCACAGACTGGGTCAGGCTGCAGGTCCGCGCAGCACAGTCTCCTGTATCCCCCAGCAGCAGAGCACAGGGGCTGGGAGGGAGAGCAACTGGGTCTGAGCAGGGATTTTTTCCCCCTGCTCCTTTCTCCCTTGCAGCCGTTTCAGGTCCAGGACGTTCTGACCCAGAGGCTGTGCCCCTCCTGCGCTCCACAGCCCCCAAATCCCCCCTTTCCTCTGAGGGTGTGTCTGGGGCCTTGGCTGGCTTAACCGCCCCGATCCCCCGACATCTGGCGGCACCAATCTCCCCACTTTAATTTCACGCTGGGAGAAAATAAACTACCTAGAGTTGCCTCTGCACCTGTGACCATGGGTGCCAGGGTGAGCATTAAGCAGGGAATTGATCACGAGAGAGATCCGGTTTGAAGTTGAAGCAATGATTTTCGACCCCTGGGGGGTCCATATTCTGTCCGAGGGGTGCGTGAAAGATCAACCAAAAGTATGTGAACGCCCACACGTACAATTCAAGGGGACCCGCACCTCCGCTTGAAATTTTGGAAATGGAAAAAGGTTGAAAACCGCTGCTCTAGAGCATCCACTTGTGTTGCTATTTGTGGCTGGTGGTCAGGACAGGTAGAGATGTTGCCTCTGGCACCTCTGGAGAAGAGCAGCAAGGATGATGTAGGAGCTTCCACATGAGGAGGGGGCTAATGAGGCTGGGCCTGGTCCGTGTAGAATTGGGGGACATGCGGAGGGTTTATAGAGCGCGAAATGGAGAAGAGGAAGTTGGGAGCGGTTTGTCGTGGGCCGTGTCTCCCCTGACGACAGTGAAATGCAGCGCATGAGTTTAACATCAACCCCAGGCAGTTTTATCCCCCAGCCTGGACTTCGAGCATGTGGCTAATGGACCCAGGTCTGACCCAGTCCATGCCGAGGCATCTGTATGGCAGGGAAGGTAGATGCCCACGAGGGGGTTGTTGAATAGGGGGCAGGTGGCTCTAGAGATGCCCAGCTCAGCGCTGTCCCACTTCTGCGCCTGAGACCACTGGATGGACCATGGGTCTCACCCCACTGGCCTATGTGTCAGCTCCTACCACGACCAGGCCAAAGGCTTGGTGTCCAGCTGCTTCTCCCAGGGGTGAGGCCTGGCTGCCCGCCGAGCTGCTGTGGGAAGTTGTGGACATGCCTTGGAGGCACAGACCTGCTGCCCATGGCCCTGGGTGTGACTGTTAGCCCCTGGCCTCAGTTTCCCCTTTGCCGGGCCCAGGCAGCTTTGGAAGGAGGGGGACAAGGGGGTTTCTTTTCTTCTGGCTCCTGGGAGGGTCCCTGCCCTGGCTTTGCCCGGTGTTGAGAGTTGCAGCAGCTGGTGTTTGGTGTCCAGCAGAGGGCAGCGCCATCCTGAGGAAGGAGCCGAGCAGGGGGGCAGGGAGCCCAACCCCTGGGTTTTGCAGGAGGGGAGGGGAGCGGGGTTGGGGTTGGGAGCCAGGATGCCTGCAGTGGGCAGAGCTGTGCAGTGGAGGAGCGGGGTGTGGGGTCTTTGAGCCCGCGAGCCCACGATGGCAATACACTGGGTGAAAGTGTCGCTGCGTTGTGTCGTGTTTTGTTGTACATGCAGGGTGTGACAGGGTGTATGTATGTGTGCGCAGGGCATGTGTGCGTGTCCAAGGGCATGATGGTGTTTGTGTGTGCATGTACAGGGTATGATGTGTTTGTGCACAGGGCATGTGTGTGCATGTGCAGGGTGTGATGGTGTACGTGTGGTGGAGTGTATGCATCTGTATGCAAGGTTTAATGGAGTATGTGTATGCAGGGTGCGTGTGTGCAGGGTATCATCTGTATATGCATGTGCAAGACGTGGGTCTGTGTGTGTGTGTGTGTTTATGCATGAAATTGTATGTGTGCACCTGCACGTGCCAGGGAACTACACTGGTGCTGAAGCCGTTGGGGGGCAGCTGCGGCGTGCCGGGCCCTCGGGCGTGTGTGACAGCTGGGGCTTCCACATCCATGGTTTGGCACACGTGTCTGGGGGTCGTCCTGTGCAGGCCGAGCTGTGCAGTGCGGCAGTTGTGGTGGGTTGTGAGCTGGGGGGGCGGGGGGACACACACAGGCCAGGGAGGTGTGTTGTGTACCGTGGGGGTCTGTGCC